GGCACCCCCAGGCACCCCCAGGCACCCCCCGGGCAACCGGGCACCGGGCACCACTGGGCACCCGGGCACCTTGGCGTGCAGCGAAAATCGGTGACAAACCTGACCTAACCATATGAATCCGCAAGGACCCCTACAGAGGCAAGCTCTCAGGTATACAGATATACATACATTCATTATATATATATATATATATATATATATATATATATAGGATTTCGGCCCGCCCCGAGAAAGGAGTGCAAAAGGAAGCCATCCGATCGCAGAAGCAAGAAAGCGCAAGACATATAATGGGAGCTGAGGACCCCGAAGTCCAGCACCGTGCCGCGAGTCACGAAGTGGAGTGTCCTCAAATTCCTCCGAACTCTCTGGCTTGACGATTATGGACAACTGGTTGTTCCTGTGGCCTGGACCCCAGACAAGCGAGTTCCGGAATTCCTGGGGTGTGCCGCGCAGCGTTTTACGAGGCCGTGCACGCGTGGCTTGGAAACAACTTCCGACATGCCATAAGAGGCTGCCACAAGGTCGTCCTGGAGCTCTCCTGGAAGCAAGCCTCTTCGGCCGTCTTGGGAAACATGGTGGCTAGAACATCAGGTTTAAGTCGTCCAACTGCTTCAAGCTTGTGTATGGGTAGTTCTGACGGGCCGAAACTAACACCACAACAAAAGAATATTGCACATATCCCTGACAACTCTGGACACATGGAAACTATACGCTCGTATAGTAGATCGAGAAAGCACTTATGCGCAAGCACAGATATGCGTCCGCGCGGGGAAGCGCACATGAAAAAAACAGATTGCGCATGATAGAAGCAAGCACTTTCCTGTGAAACACAAGAAGATGAAATCAATAACAAAACGCACTGATGCATCCACGCGGGGAATTTCACGAGTGGGAGACCGACCCTCGTTGAATGGAAAACAAAACACACTTGCTACCTGCCATTGTAACTTGCCTGACCATTTGAGCCGTTTCAACCGCTTGACCGCGCTGACATTTTTGGCCATTTTAACCCGCCTGATCGTCTTGATACACCCGCCTGGCCGTTTCAACCGTCTCGGTGCTTTGTCTCGCCCGACCGTTTTGACTCGCCTGGCGCCTTGAACCGTTTAAACTGCCTGGCCGCGCTGACATCATTGGCCGTTTTCACCTGCCGTGCCAGTTTAGCCCGCCTGGCCGTTTTAACCCGCCTGGCCGTTTTAATCCGCGGGGCCGTGCCGTTGGAACCCACCTGGCCTTTTCTTTCTGCCTGGCCTTTTGAACCCGCCTATTCATTTTATTCTGCCTGGCCGTTTCAACCAACCTGGTTGCTGTAACCCGCCTGGCCGTGTTAACCCACCTGGCCAGCCTCGCGGGCCGTATTGGAGCGACTCCAAGACGACGTCAGCAGCATCTCGTTGTAAGGATGTTCCACGCGAAATCGCCATCTGGGCAAGAGCGATACCAAGACAAGGTCGACAACATCTCGAAGTTTGAGGACATCCCAGACGAAATCGCTGGGCAAGACCAGAACCAAAACGACGTCGACGACATCTTGTTCGTGTTGGGATTCCCTGGCGAAATTGCCAGTTGGGGCAAGAACGATGTCGACATCATCTCATTTGTGTGAGGACGTCCCATGCGAAATCGCCATACATCTCATGTTTGTGAGGATGTCACTGGCAAAATCGGAATTTCGGGCAACAGCGATGTCGCCAGCATCTCATTCTTGTGGGGATGTCCCTAAAGACGTTGTCATCTGTTGGGCGGAATTAGGGCGCCTTGGAGCCATCTTGGTGGGCTATGTTGGGCCGTCTCGGGGCCTTCCGAGAGCGACCCCAAAAGAGGACGGTGTGTTGAGGATGTCCCGAACGAAATCCCCGTTGAGGCCTTCTGGTCCCTGGGGCTACACCTGTCCTCCACCTCAACCTCTCTCTCAAAACCGGTTTGCTTCCGACCAACACATCGGACGCTGCGCACGTTTTCCGTTAGGTCGGGCGTGTCCTCCTACAGGCGGATTCTGGGCGAAAAAATATATTTTCATACAAAAAACGCAAATCCTCGATGTTCGCCTGAGATGAAACAGCCCGCTATCGTCGCACAGCCGGCAAGATGCGATACGAAATCCCCTTGAAACGCATCGGCTCCACCCATGAATAAAATGACACTCTGCACGACGAAAGCCCTGCAACGGCAAGATGCTTCTGTCACGGAATATATATATATGTATATATATGTATATATAGGAGGTTTTTCCTTCCAATCGTGAAAGAAACACCAAAGTTAGGAACAGCACGGCAGGCAAACTCGGAGCGCATCGCGCACCGACCTGCAATAGGCAAGCACACGCCGCGGACCTTGGCCTGGGGGACACACTAGCACCACTCAAACACTGGCCTGTGGAACGTTGACGCTGGACGAGAGGAGGGGGAGGAGGGGAGGGGAGGAAGAGAAAGCCCACAGTCCAGCCATCAACACCATCTCGCGTCGAAAACGCGCGTGAGAACAGCATGGCCGGCCGCCCCGGACTTGCACCACTGTTCGAGCGCATCGTTGACAATAGTGGCATTCGGAGTTGTTCGCCCACGGAAGTGGTTCGAAGAACAGGAAACAGCATAAGTTGCAAGAGCATGTAACGACTCAGTTGCGTCGTCAGCGTGCCCTGTACACAGAATGGTGTCCAGGAATGCCTCTGCGAGCGGCAGGAAACGATGCTTCAACCGAATAACGAAAGGGCAGCGCGCGTAATGCTCAATGCAGCGGGCGATAAGTGACAAATAATCAAGAATATTCAAAAATACTCAATAATAATCAACAAATCGTCCCCTGACTATTTTGGAACTATTTGTAACTATTCCTCCTGTAGAGGGAGAGGCCCGACGTAAGCTTTCCGTTCTCCTCCGCCCCTTGATGCTTGCGAGACAGTTGCGCGACGTGCCGAGTGGGTAATCACCCTTTGGGCCCTTCCACGGATTGCCTCCCTTACGCGCTCGATCATGGACCCCTCGCCGCGCCCCTCGGCCTCTGAAGACCGCCGAAAGACCGCCGAAGACCGCCAGCGAGCGCGCGCCCCGCCGCCGGAGCTGGGGCCCAACGCGGTCCTCGGCGGCCTTCGGCGGCCTTTCGGCGGTCTTCGGCGCTCTGGACGGCGGCCCGACACGGTCTGCGGCGGTCGTCGGTGTGAAAGCCGGATATTTCGCGCAAACAAGGGGTCCACGATGGAACGTGTGACCTCTTGAGTCCCCCAAGCGGCGAAATCGCAAAGACTCTGGCCCCGGACAAGACGCTGGGCACCCCGCGGCGCGCGCGTGCGTCGGTTCGGAGGCGGCGGAGCCTTCACCCGGCGCTTCGTCCGGGGGTCGACTACGCAGATGTGCGGCAGCTGGTGCCTGCGATGCGCCGGGTGGGCCCTGCAAGAGCTGAAACGCCCCCAAACCATACAGAAGGGACCCGACCACAAGAAGCCTTCCACAAGAAACCCAACCCTGAGACGCCAGGGCGTCCATCGATTTTTGGTGTGGGGACGTCGCGCTGTCCCATCGCAAAACCATCGAAACCCGAGAAACCCAGGGCACCATGGAGGCAAGCAGGGTGTTTGTTCCTGCCATGGGCCCCCACTGTAGCCCTTCCTGAGGCCAAAGTGGTCCTCATATTTTGGCATCTTGGCTGTACCCATCGGTCGGAAGACGTAGATAGACATGAAGTAGGAAGGCGTTGAAAATAGATTGGGCGTCCGCCCAACCCCCTAGAGAGGACGGAAAAGGTGAAGCCACTCGATCATTAAAGTAGGAAGGCGCTTGAAAAAGATTGGAATATGGGAACCCCACAATACCTACGTTCAGCGACCGATGGGCATGCTGATACAGTTCGCTGCTCTGCCAGGGGTCGACGGTGAGATGCTCGTCCCTGGGACCTTCCTGGAGCCGCTCGCTCCCCTGTCTGCGTCGGCGCTGCGTCGACCGTCCGCCGACTGTAAAGAGGCCCAGGCACACGCAAATAAATGCACACAGTTCCCAGGATTCCCCATATTTTCCAATAGTTTCTCGGTTTTCGTCTCCCCCCCACACTTCCCATATGTTCCCACATTTTCCTGCGAGTCGACGATTAATTGTGCCTGTGTTTTTCCCCTCCTGAGACTGGAGTCGAACAGATCCGTTGGGTGGGCCCCACGAGGGTCCCCAAAGGAATGGCTTGGGTGAGAAAGACTTTCCTCAAACACTGGCTGAAGCTGCGGCTGGCTCACTGAAAAGGGAAACACAAACTTACCTCGAGGCGGCGAATGGCCGAAGGGTACCTGTGCGCAAGAAGCAACAGAGGCAATGGGGAAAGGCTGGGAGTGGAATAGTGGCTACAGACCCCCATTGGAATATGTGGTATTCGATGGGTCGCACCATCGCCTACCATCGATGGCCATCGCTATGCATATACCACGCGCCCAGGATGTCAACACATACTACGGACAGATGCCGTTTTCCACGTCGGAGAAGGGAGAATCGAATCCCAGGCGCCGAACTGGCGCCAACGCATCCCCCTGGACTCAAGATGCTGCATTCCGAGAACATCCAACCAACAAGCCTCTTTTCTCACAGCCTGGAGCAGCAGCCCCCGTTCTCGCGGGCAGAGGGTGGTGGATGCGAACGCGGCATGGAGGCTGCGGAGAAGGCGCGCCGCGTCAAAAGGCTCCCCATGTGGCCCGAGAAACCCATGAGGCGCCAGGAGAAATCCGACGATCCGCCAAAGAGGCCCCAGGCGACTCCGCCGACCCCGCAGAAGAAGCCCAGTGCCCACCCCAAAGCCCTCTAAATATAGCACAAGGACCAAGGGGACGCACAGAGACATGCAAATTGTATACCCATCTTGTAGCATATCGCTTCCCGAGCGGTGTGGCCACAAAGCCCCCGCCACGACGCATACATCATAAGAGTTCTCGGTGCGCGCGTCGCCCCTGGGGGACATAGTATTTGAAGGGGCCCTGGGCCCTAGGACATACACACACACACACAAAAACAAACAAACAAACACATAGACACAACTGACAGGATTCCCCATCTTTTCCCATATGTTCTGGGTTTTTGTCTTCCCCCCCAATTCCCATATTTTCCATATTTTCTAGGGAATCGACGATTAATTGTGTCTGTGTGTTTTTCCCTCCTGATATTAATATGCTGGGGTGACGCCGAGCCAATGCTCGCCACGGCCGAGGGGGGAATCCAAAGAGGCCTCCAGGACCCCCCGAAGTCCACTGGCAGCAGGGTCCAAAACACCCCGAACGGCCTCCAGCCTGCATATAAAATGCAAAACAAGGCTGGTCGCACAACTGGCCATCGCTCGGACGTCAATTCCCTTACTTTTTTCGGTTTCGTGCGTGGTTTTTTCGCAGGATGACCCAGGATGCTCCTCAATGATCCCCGCCGAGAACAAGTGCACACGCCCGAGCGATACCAAGACAAGGGGAGACAGCGAGAAGGAGAACGCGCGGGACAGTGAAAAGGTACAGTCGACCCCGATCGCAAGGATGCGCGGTAGGGATGCAAGGGCCTTGGACGCCCATGTCGAAGCTTTGCGAGCGGGGCGCGGACGGCGAAAGTGGCCAAGGATGGGCCGAGGAGGCGAGGATGCACGGGTACCCTCGGGAAGGTTGCCCATCCTTACCATGCGGGTTGACTGTAGAAAAACAAAGGATAGCCAGAAAGCGCGGAGGGGGTCCACGACTTCGACGGCGGGGGAGCGGCAGCCATGGAGGCGCGCGAGGGCGATCAGAAGAGGCGGACAAGATGTCAACTCGACCCCAACCTCAAAGCGAACCCGGAAATTCGGCATGCGACGTGTCAGAGGTCCGCCCAAGATCCTCGGATCGACGCTGGGACCGCCTCCCATGGGGCGCGAATTGAGCCGGGGGCGACGCCAGGGGATGCACCGATGCAAGATCCATACTTTCACCGAGCCGTCGTGACAGCAGGCAGCGCTTAAGCGGTGCTGGCTCGGGCTGCACACTGTGACAAAATTCACGTCGCGCAAATCAGACACCATCTCTTCACTGGAGAGCGTTTGTTCTTTCGCGGCGATAACGGGCGCTACGGGGAGGGGGAGGAGGGGGAGGGCGGGGGAGGCATAACTAACGCCACGCCCCCCGCCGTAACAGATTGTGGTGCCGGACGCTCTGGGACGCTCTGCGGTAGCGCTGGGGGCGCGCTGGGCGGGGAAGAGCGTCACGGGAGGGAGGGGGGGAGGGGAGGGGGGAGGAAGAGCATAACGCGCGCTACGGCCCAGAGGAAAAACACAAAGCGCTCCTGGACTTTGCACTGGCATCCTGGCGCACGGCGCACAGTGGGAGCCCGACCACAAGAAACCTTCCACAAGAAACCCAACCCTGAGACGCCAGGGCGTCCATTGATTTTTGCTGTGGGAACCTCACGCTTCCAATTGCAAAACCATCGAAACCCAGGAAACCCAGGGCACCCTGGAGGCAAGCAGGGTGTTGTTCCTGGCATGGGCCCCCACTGTAGCCCTTCCTGAGCCCAAAGTGGTCCTCATATTCTGGCATCTTGGCTGTACCCATCCTGCTCCTCGTCGTCTTCCCCGTTCCTGCACACATCGACTTATGCATATACCTTCATGTATGTGTATATACATTATAAATGAATATGAACTTGCATGCGTACATATTCATGTACGTACGTACGTAAGCACAGATGTAAGCATGTATCTATATATATATATATATATGTGCGTGCATGTCTATGTATGTATGTATGCATTCATGCAAGCATGTATGCATGTATGGATTTTGTGTGTATGTATGTAAGCCTGCATGCATACATACATGCATGCATGTATGTCTATGTCTGTCGGTCTTATTGCATGTATGTATGGATGTATGTATGACTACAATGTGAATGTATGTCTGTTTGTATGACTGTATGTATGCATATATGTACGGATGTGTGTTTTTATGTACGCATGCATGTATGCATGAATGTGTGTATGTGTGTACGTATGTATGTAAGTATGTATGCACGCATGTATGTATGTGTGTATGTATGTATGTCGGTATGTGTATGTATTCATGCAGGTGTATAGACCACTATGTATGCATACGTGCGTGCATGCATGTCTGTGTCTGTATGTATGTGTACATGTATGTATGTCTGTATGTATGCATTGGTATATGCGTGTATGTATGTACGTACGTATGTACGCATGTACGTGTGAACATGTATGTGTATGCATGCCTGGATGTATGCATGTGCGTAATTATGTGTGTATGTATGCATGGATGCATGTGTGGATGTGTGTATGCATGCGCGCATGTATGCATGAGTGTACGTAACAACGTATGCATGTATGTGTATGCATTTACGTATGTATAAATGTGTGGATGAATGTATGTACGTATGTATGCCAGTATGTTTGTATGCCTTTATGTGTGTATGCATGTATGTATGTACGTACGTACGTGCGTACGTATGTACGTATGTATGCATGTGTGCATGCATGTATGAACATGTATGGACGCATGCATGTATGGATGTATGTGTGTGTCTGCATGTATGTGTGTATGCATGTATGTATGTTTGCATGTATGTATGCTTGAAAGCATGTATGCACGTATGTGTGAACGTATGTACGTATGTATGTATGTGTGCATGAATGTATGTGTGTATGATTTTATGTATACGTGTATGTGCATAATCATGTAGGTGCATGTATGCATTCATGGACGTATGTATATGTATTATGTGCGGATGTATGATCGTATGGGTGTATGTATATAAATACGCATGTAGGTATGTATGCCTGACTGTATGTATGTATGTATGTATGTATATATGCTTGTATGCATGCATGCATGCATGCATGTATGCACGAATGTATGGATGTATGCATGTATGTGTGAATGTGTGTATACGTATGTATGCATGCATGTATGTATGCTTTCATGCGTGTATTTATATTTGTATGTATGTGTGGATGTATGTGTGTATGGATGTGCGCATGTACGTGTGTAAGTATGTGTGTATGTGAGTATGTATGTATGTATGCATGTATGTATCTATACACGCATGTATGTATGTATGTATGTATGTATGTATGTATGTGTGATTGTATGTATGTATGTATGTATGTGTGTGTGTATGTATGTATGTATGTATGTATGTATGTATGTATGTATGTATGTATGTATGTATGTGCCTGCCTGCATGCATGTATGTCTGTCTGCATGTAGGTAGGTATGTACGTAGGTAGGTAGGTAGGTAGGCAGGTACGCGGGTAGGTAGGCAGGTACGTATGTACGTATGTATGTATGTATGTATGTATGTATGTATGTATGTATGTTTGTATCTATGTACACATGTACGTAGGTACGTAGGTAAGTAGGCAGGTAGGTAGGTAGGCAGGCAGACAGGCAGGTAGGCAGGTGGGTATTATATATGTATGGGGCAACGATGGGGGGGGCTGGCATGTGGGGAGGGGACATCGACCTGGACTCGGCGATACATCGCCGATGGGTCGGCGATGCGCCCCCGATGGCCCATCCCCACGTTCCTGGGCGGAGCGGGGCTCTCAGACCCCCAAGGGGCAGTCCATGGGCGATTGGGGGCCGGTGCGTCCTCCCCTGCGCCTGTCCCCCCGCATTTGGACGCCCGAAATGGGTACGGAAAGAATGGGTACAATGCCCGACAACAAGTGTTGTCCAAAAACCAACAACGGCCGCTGTTGGGCAGGCGGCCTTGTCTCAAATGGACACAGGCCGCGGCGGCGCGGACAGCGAGTCCTGTTCAAAATGAACAGGAACTGCTGTCGGGCATCGTACCCTCTCTTTCCGTGCCAATCTCGTGCGTGCAGACCCGCAGCGTCGCCCCCGACTACAACATCTCGGTGTGGAGAGAGGCGGCTGGACCGGCGGAGAGGCGCCCGCACTGGTAGTACTGGCAGAACTGCTGGCCCTCGGTGGACTTGTCGTCCCTCTGCCTGCGGCGGCGGCGAGGGCGGCGCCGCCGTCGCCGCAGGGCCTGGAGGAGAGGAGGGGGGAGGGGAACGAGCAATGACACAAACGCAAAAACTCTGTCGTCCGCGCGGATTTCTCGGATCGGCGCTGGAGCCCCCTGGCGGCGCCTCCGGCGCCGCCCCTGGCGCGCTCCAGCGCCGATCCGAGAAACCCGCGCGGACCTCACAATCTGTAAGTTTATGTCATTGTTCGTTCCCCGAGGGGGAGGGATGGGGGAGAAGAAGAAAACGCAGCTGATGAGCAGACAACTTGCACACACTCGCGCCTATGCACAGCAGATTTGCAAAGCACAGGCGCAAGACGATTCGCACTACGCACACAGAGAGGGCAGGCCCGAGCGAACACGAGGGGGCCGACCGAGGACCGAACAGAGCTAGAGGGAGCTGAAGGCCCGAGGGTACGACGAAGGGAGGCAGAGGAGGCGAACCAGGATAAGCGAACCAAGCACAAAACTTAGCTGCACACAAAAATCGAGCACCACTGCGCGCATGCCCGCTATCCGTAACCTGCCTCGTATGTATGCATTCTGTTGCCACGGCTGCACTGGTGCGCCTAGGGATCCAGCGCAGCGCGTGGCCACACGTTGAAAAACCCTCACTCACACCACACTGGACTCAGTGTTTCCTCCACCCACTTTTTCGGCGCCTGTGGACTCGTCTTCCCCGCCGGAGAACATGCTGAGAGGCAATCGCGATTTGTACACATCGATCCACGCCGACAGCTCCTCCTCCATGTGGCCCGCGGGCGCCGCGCCCACGGTGACCATGCACCTTGAACGTGTCGGTCGGCACGTCTCTCCTGCACTGGTCCCGCACCGAGAACACGATCTGAATCATGCCTGGTTGGCAACGTTCTCTAGTTTGCACAACTTTACAGAATCGGGCGGGTCGCCCACGATGACCGTCGCCCATACCACGGAGGTATGCCTGTTGACCCGCCCGACCTCGGCGTCCCTTAGCTTCTCGGCCATCGCCGCGAAAACGGGGTCGAGCTTGCGTAATTACTTTGCCGCCAGCTCCGCCTCCTCGTTGGCCGTGTTCTCGGACGCCTTGTCCGCCCCATTAATTGACTTCACCGTCTCCGTCAGCTTGATGATACTGTTCCTGAGTGCCTGCACGCCTCCAGCGAAGGCCTTGCTCTCCCCTTGCATCCCTTTTCACAAGGCCCGGATTTTACGGGAAACGCGACAGCCACAACTTCTTGGCGGCCGCCCGCGACTGCTCCCCATACCGCACAGGCGACTTGCGACGGCAAACAAGATTGCCGACCATGCGACGCCAAGGTGATGGGACACTTCTTCAAAAACAAGGTTAACAAAAAGCGCATTGCAATCGTCACCCATACAACCAGGGTGGGTATTACAGCGGAGGTTGCCCATACGATCGTCAGCATCACAATGAGCAACAATACCATCCAAACAAGCATTGTGGTGGAAGTTGGCAGCACACTCATCAACCGCATCATCACCACCCGCAGAACAATCAAAAGGGGCCAACGTGTTCAAAAGAGGCAGTGCTTCTTCACGGTGAACAGTTGCAGTACAGTCGTCAGCCAGATCACAAGCACAATCGTCAACACATCATTCAAAAGCGTGGGGCCCTCTGCTCGCCCAAACTAACGCGACTCAGAGATCAACGAACACACAAACTGCCGTTTCATCCTGTGGCTTGGCACGGGGTATTGAACACATTCATGAGATATCCTATGAATCGCACGGCACAGTGCCAAGGCGGCAGGAACTAGAATGCCGCGCATACTCCCCAAAAACAAGGCGGGTACTGCCAACCGTCGCTCCGAATGTCACAAAATGCCGCCGTCGCCAGACTACACGCCAAAACTTCAAGCCTTTGGCAACAATGAAGACTTATCATCTCCCCATCACCTACAAAAAACCAGAGTCCAAAGAAAACCGTTTAACAAACACTATTGAGCTTATTGACAAAAATCTCAACTGAAACGTGCCGACATGCGCTGGGCGACGTGCGAATTCAACTCCGACACCACCGCGCGAACGAAATCAGAACTCTCGTGCTGACGATGGTCCCTCGCCGTGTGCAACGCGAACGGACTATGTGTTGCTCGTGGTGAATCACTACTTTGTTGCCCGCGCGTTCCCCCCATCCCCCGCGCGCGCACGCGCGACTCGCACTTCGTCCGCAGTGGAGGCGCGCGCGATGGCATAGACGCGCGCGCGCATCTCCAGCGCGCGCCAATCCCGCTGCGCGCCATGCGCGCGCTTAAGGCATCAATGCGCGCGCGGATTCCCAGCGCGGGCGCGAGCCTTGTGGGCCCGCGGAACACGCGACGACAAATCGCTCGACCAAACCGCGTGGCAAGTTTGCCCCGTGGTCATCGTTCCATATGCATTTACTAAACGGGTGGCGCTTTCGCCGTCCGCCCCCCTGTTTTTCTCGTTCGCAACTTTTGGGCCGCTTGAATGTGTCATCGTCCTCCTTTTTGTTTCTTCTTGCCTGCCGTTTGTGTATCGTCGTCCCATGTTTTTTGTCGTCGCGTTGTGTGCTTTTGGTCGTCTGGTATTGTTGGTGCCCTCCAGGGCTGAACCGAAACGGTGTTTTGTTTTCGTTTTGTTTTCGGTTTCCCTCATGTTGCTTTCAATCCGCCTTTACCGAAAAACGAAGTCGAAACGAAAACGGCCCACGAAATCGCCAAAACACCGCGTAGGCCCAGCCCTGGTGTCCTCCACGGTCGGATTCGGAATCGTAAGCGGGCCCCTCAACACGTTTAGGGTCCTGCGCGGCTGGATCCAACCCCCATACGTTTCACGCGTCCAGCGTCCCCAAGCGATGCTCATGGCAAGGCTGGACCTAAACGCTATGGTGCTGACTTCGGCTGATGTTGTTTTTTTCCGGTTTGGGAGGTACGTACAGTAAAACAGGTAGAGCAAAACAAAAAAACAAAACGAAAACAACACGACAAGCAGCGCTTATGTCCAGCCCTGGCTCATGGAAAAGGATCCCTAGGCGATGGGAAGTGGCTCCCAAGCGATACTCCTGGAAAACGATGACATCTCCCATACGTTTCCCAAACCGTTCAGAAGCGATGCCTGGGCGATGCTCGTGGGAATTCGATGATCGGTCCTCGCCCGCCCCTTTGAGAGACCGCGCGCACCCGCTGGGGGGGGGCTCAGCGCTAACGCTAACAGCGTTTGAGAGGTGTGACGGGCGACGCGGCTTCATTCTTGAAAACGGACGTATGTGATCAAGAAATGTTGTCGTTCGTCGTTGTGTGATCCCATGGAAAAGCAGGATGCGACAAATACACGCATTGACCCACGGCCTCTCGGACATCAATGCACCAACTCCTGCTATTGGTTTAGAACTCCAGTGTCAAAGCCAACGGATAGACTTACACAAGGTGGTTCCAATCGGGCAAACGAGAAAATTTCGAAGGACGGTGGAGGCCCCGAAGCGCTGTCCCAGACATCCTCGGAAACCTACACCGCCGACGTCGTCGACGAAGTTTGCTCTGCAGTCAAAACTGACAAACACATTGCGAAACGTGTTCGGTTTGACTGATCGGGCCAAGATGGCGCAGCTGAACCTTATGCAAACAAGACGAGGAAAGATAAGATGTCGGCTGTTGTCCTGAACGCATACCTTAAGATACCACGAGTCGATTAATGTGTACCAAGACGTTCTTCCTTACAACCGATTTACCAAGACTTGGTCGCAAGCTATGCCGTTTTGCGACGAAGGTGAGCACATTCCACAAGCGCTACAAACCTGGTTTGAACCGAAACTTGCATTTGTTCGAGAAGACACAACAAAATTTGCTCGGAATCGCACCGACGAGGCCGGCCTTGCTTCAACCGACTCGGCGGCGCCAGAATCACCTTTTCATCACCAACTTGAAACGTTACTCCATCTGATCGGGTCAGACGGCGTATCGGCGTTGGGTGAACTTCGACAAAGTGTCACATAGGCGCTTCCGAAAGGGCAGGGGGCGGCGGTGACTCGCCGTAGGCGTCTTCGATAACACGCTGGAAGAGCAAACTTGCCTTCTGCCTTCTTTCGCCTGCTTCGTAGACCCTCCAGCAAGCATGCAACCTAGAAACCACGCAGGGGCTCACTTTAATCGCCGCATGTTTGTCCAAGGCCGCAGTTGAACCTTCGTCCAAAACTCCCCACGTCCTACATCACACCCAAAGAACGGAGAGAGCGGATAGAGATAGAGGTGGGTAGGCACGGGTAATTAAGATTGTGGCCGCCCTGACCTGCTCCACGCCTGCTTCGTCTGTCTCTGTTGGCGTGGCATCGTGATCCCCCATGCCACGATTTCATATCCAAATGATTCCCCTTCCGAAATGCACCGTCTGGACTCGAATCCGCCACCGTGCCTGCACGGAGTGGGCGTGTTTGAATGCATGTCTGTTGCCTGAAGGTGTTTGTTCTAGGTCCGCCTCCCCTACCCGCACGCGTGGCTCTGAGATTGCCCCCTGTGCGATGCTTTCCGGCGCTCGTTCGGCCGCCAGACGGCCAAGATGGCCTCCAAGACGGCTTCCAAGGCAGCCAAGATGACACCAACACGGCCCGAGATAAGACGACTCATGAGGCTCCAGAGACGGCATCAAGACAACTGGCCCAAGAGGGCTCCAAGAGGCCCTCCACGGAAGCCCGAGGAGGCCAAAACCATACTTGGAATTGAGTTTGGATTGGAGTTGGAGTTCTCGCCTACTTAGGCTTCCGACCGCCAAAGAGGGCATGTGGCTTCCAAGATAGCTCCGAGACAGCGCACGAGGTCCCCAATATGGCCCCGAGTCGGCCTAAGGGGACCCCAAGATCGCCATCCCAAGAGAGCCCCAAGGCGGCCCTAAAGCGGTCCAAGAGGGCACCAAGACAGCCAAGAGAGGCCCCCAAGGCGGCCTCCGAAGGCGTCAGACGGGCCAATCGCCTCCCTACGACGGCCCAGAAAGCCCCCCCAGCCGGCCCAAATGGGGCCCCAAGAAGCGTTCACCTCCTCGTCCTTATTTTCTCCCTCTCCTCCTCCTCCTCCGCTTCCTCCTCCTCCTCCTCCTCCTCCTCCTTCTCCTCCTCCGCCTCCCCCTCCTCCTCCTCCTTCTCCTCCTCCTCCTCCTCCTCCTCCTCCTCCTCCTCCTCCCTCTCCTCCTCCCTACCGCACGGACAAAGATGATTTCGGGATCACGACCCTCCCCAGTTCAAACCACTCGCTGAACTGCCGCGGGGTGTGAACTCGACATCCTTCCTACCGCGCAGGCGAGGTCGAGTTCACGACCCGTCCTTATCACACCTTTTGTCGGAATTGCGCTGTTTTTACACTCAGTCTCCTTCCTGCAGCGCTGTTGCACAAACACGGTGGCGGGGTTTGCCGCAGGCAGCTGGATATTGGTTTGTGCCTGGCTCGTGCATGGCCAAATGGGCACGAGCTCTAATGAGTTGATTCGGATTGGCGTCCATTGTATCAAGGATTCGACATGAAAACCTCTCGGCGATCGAGCTAACACACTGAAGCCCATGCTCATCTTGTGCATCCATCGAGGCACTGCTCAACTGAATGTCATGCTACCGTAGCAGCTGTTCGATGTTGCTGCCCATGCCACAGTTGATTTGCTTCGTGGCGGGTACACATAGCGCTGCAGCTGCTCTGGAATGAATGGTCTCCCGAGTTTAGCCCAGCACTGCTCGATGGGAAGTGTGTGCCTGAGGCTCACGCACCCTCGGCATGGGGCCCACAAGCCCGTACACTCGGGCCTTCCGAGCGACGAGCAACAAAGTGATCTGAAGCAGGGTAACAGCTTTTGGGCGCGAACAAGTGGGGGGGCAGTCCATGGGGGGGGGTAGGCAGCGAGGGCTGCAGAAAAGGAGCCCTTGAGGGCCCCAGAGGGAGCCTTGAGGGCCTGGAAAGGACACCTTTCTTCTCCTACGGTTCATCACCCCCAAAAAAATCGCGCCCAAAGCTTGGCCAGGTTGTCGCCGCTGGGGCAAGATCTCGACCCTGGGAGAGCGAGGAGCGCCAACGCGGGGCGGACCAAAAGAGGAACGACCCCTCCACCGTGTCCTGGATCGTCTCGTCCCGCCAAACCTGGCACCGCGCGGGGGCAGAAGAAGTGTGTGTGTGTGTGTGTGTGTGTGTGTGTGTGTGTGTGTGTGTGTGTGTGTGTGTGTGTGTGTGTGTGTGTGTGTGTGTGTGTGTGTGTGTGTGTGTGTGTGTGTGTGTGTGTGTGTGTGTGTGTGTGTGTGTGTGTGTGTGTGTGTGTGTGTGTGTGTGTGTGTGTGTGTGTGTGTGTGTGTGTGTGTGTGTGTGTGTGTGTGTGTGTGTGTGTGTGTGTGTGTGTGTGTGTGTGTGTGTGCGTGTGCGTGTGTGCGTGTGCGTGTGCGTGTGCGTGTGCGTGTGCGTGTGCGTGTGCGTGTGCGTGTGCGTGTGCGTGTGCGTGTGCGTGTGCGTGTGCGTGCGTTTGTGTGTGTGTGTGTCTGTGTGTGTGTGTTTGCAGGGTTGCGGCTCTGCAATCGTCGGGCGTCGGAAGTATTCGAGACGGCGCTCGAACTCGCAGTCTCCTCCTCAGGAGGGAGGCGCCTCATCCAGCAGGCCACATGAGCCACGCGACCAATTGGACCGAACGAGCCAACAGCGGTCTGCTGTTGTACGCTGCTCTGCGTGCGCTCATACCCCGTGGCAGAGGAGCAACACGGAAGCACCGGAAGGAGACGACATCACTGCCCGTAGGCACGCGTGCTGGCCACTCGGCAAACCGACCGGTCCCGTCTGCAGCTTCTGAAAGGGTGAGCCGTGGGAAACGGAGCGGAACGTCATCCTGCGCGTGGGTTTTCTCCTGTACTGTATCAAAGCGTTGACAATCACAAGTGTCGCCAGTATGACTATTCGCACACGCTTACTCATAACTCTAATCACTGATCAACCACCGTGCCCCCTGGCACGTTGAGACGTACTAGAATGCAAAGTGCTGCCTGACAGAGTTTCTGTGATATTCTAAGGTCCCCCCTCCCTCGTGGCCATCGTGGGTCCATCTTGGGACGTCGAGGGATCCTCCTAGGTCGGCCTGGATTATTCAGGAAGCTCTTGAAGGCCAGCTTGTAGCGTTCTTGACTCCATCCTGGGCTGTCCAGGAACCCTCTTGGGCTACCTTCAGGCCGTCTTGGAAGCCACTTGGGCTATCTTGCGACCCTCTTGGGTGGGTCTTCGCGTGGCCATCTTGGGTGCCTCTTGAGCCAACGAAAGCTAGGAGCGGCGAGAGTGCGAACAACTTTCAAACACCTAAAGAATATTACAGCTTCTGGTCTCTTCGGGCCTTGCTGGAGGCTCTCTTGGAGACAACTTGGGCCGTCTTGGATGTTTCTTGGGCCGTCATGGAGGCCTCCTGGCCTATGTTGACGGCCTTTGTGGCCTGCCTTGGCCGTTTGAACAGCCATCTTGTGTAGCTCCGACGCCTTGGAGAGCGCCAGGGACGTGTCTGGGCGCCGACATCCTCAGAAAGACGGCCCAAGAGAGCCCCGAGACGGCCCCAAAAATGTGAACACGAACCGACAATTCGAGCCATCCGCCCCACGAGGGCTAAGGAGGCCCCGAGAGCTCCCAAGAGGCCCTCAGGAGGCTCCAAAAAACTGTTGGACTCTCGCCTTTGCGAGTTTCCGCCGCTCCATGCCGGCCCAAGAGGCCCAAACACTCTCCCCAGACGGCTCAAAAAAGGGACCAAGAGAGCTCCAAGACGGCCCTTGATGGTGGGCTCCAAGACGGGCTAGGCGGCGCCAGGGACTACTCAAGAAGGCCATAAGACGGCCAAGGAAGGAACACGAACCGAAAGGCCCCCAGCTGGCCCCCTGCATTGTCGAGTAGTTGCCGCACAGAACGCTGCGCTGGCACGGTGGCGGGATGGTCTGAAGCAGCTGGATACTACGCACTACTTGCCACATCTTCCGCTGCGCCGCACATGCGCACTTGCACACCGAGACGACGCAGTTCCCAACATCCCTCTGGGTTTAGGTCGGGCATGTCCTCCTACAGGCGGATTTTGACTAAAAAAAAACATAGCCAAAAAAATATTCAAGCATGGTCCAAAATTCTCGAAACGTCCCCAGACCATTCCTGGCATATTTTTGAACTTTCTTCCTGCTGAGGGACATGCCCGACTTTAACGTTGGACGTATAGGTGGCTCTGACGGACAACCTCCGCGCCACTGGAAGCGCGACCTGGCCGACTGCCACCACCATGAACCCTCGCGACGCGGGCTGCTCTCTGCCGCCCCCCATTGGGGCCGACTGCGGGTGGGGGAACGGGCTCAAGGGGCGGGGACATCGAGGTTGGGGAGAACGCGTTTCACGGGCGCTTGCCTTGGGAACATTCGGCTGCGCGTTTCGAACCGGGGGTATGGCCCTCCCCCCAACACTTGGCGCCGTCGATCAGAACCAGGAGGACTCCCCTCCCCCCAGCCCCCTCCCGAACCCTCCCAGGGGGGTTCAAGCCCCCCCCCCCCTGGCGCCGGCGCTGGCGCCGGCGCTGGCGGCCGCCAGCAGCGCCGGCGGCGGGGACGCAGCGACGATGACCAGAGGCAGCCCAAGGGGGGCGGGGGGCGACGATCCAAACCCCTCCCCCCCGCGCCGGCGCCGGCGACGGCGGGGACGCAGCGACGACTACCACCACCACTACCACCACCACCACCACTACCACCACAACCGCCACCCCAACCCACAACCACCACCACCACCACCACCAAACCACCACACAACCACCACCACCACCACAGCCACCACCCACCACAATCACCACCACCACAACTCACCACCACCACCACAAAAAAACCCACCACCACTACCACCACCACCACAACCACAGTCTACCACACCACTGCCACCACCACCGCCACAACCACCACCACTACACCCACCACCACCTCCACAAACCACCGCCACCACCACAACACACCACCACCACCACGAACCACCACCACACCACCACTAAACCACCACCACCGCCACCACAACCCACCACCACCACCACAAACCACCACCACACCACCACCAAGCCACCACCACCACCACCTTTCACCACCGCCCACCACCACAACCACCACCACCACAACAAACCACCACACCACCACCACAACCGCCACCACCGCCACCACCACCACCACAACCCACCACCACAACCCACCACCACCACCACAACCCACCACCACCACCACCACCGTCGTACTCGTCGACGCTCCCCGCCGCCGCCGCCCGCCGCCGCAGGCGCCGGCGCCGGCCCAGAAAAGGAAGTCGTCGTCCCCGCCGCCGCCAGCCGCCGCCGACGCAGGCGCCGGGGCGGAGGGGGGTTCGAACCCCCATCCGTCACGGGAATGGGGGGGTAGTTCGAACCCCCCCTCTCTCCATCCAGAGGGGGGGTCCGGTTCCACCCCCCGCCTCCAAGCGACCACAGAACGCGCTCTTTCCGAGCCCGACTACCTCCTCATACCAACCCGAAGACCTGAATTTCGGATGGAGGGGGTGCGGTCTCCATCGGTGTTTTTTCCATATTCCCCGACGCCCCCCCCAACACTGGGAACGGAGGGCAAATTGGGGCCTTCGGATTGGATTGGGGTAGTTTGGTGGGTCTGCGATACTTTTCGGTCGGGCATATCCTCCTACATGCAGGTTTTGGGCGATGAATAAAAAAAATAACCACAAGTAGATTTGCACAAAATGAAGCAAAAATCGTCCTCAGGCTGTTCTTTGACTATCTTCGAATTGTCCTCCTGTAGAGGGACGGGCCCGACTCAACGATACACACCGCCGAGAAATAGGCGACGTGCCCCCGAGAGAACGCATCTGCACCCGCCCGGGCGGGGTGGGCGCTCGGGCCCCTCTCGGCGAGGCATGGGCGACGCGGGGTCGAGGCATCTCCCCGTGAGCCGCTCTCCGCCCCGAGGGCCCTCGGGCCACAACTCTCTTGGGCGCGCAGGCATGGATGAGCTGATGGGCCTGTTTTCCACCACCCCCACCATAAGTTGGAGGGGGAGGGGGTCCTCCTCCTCCTCCTCCTCCTCCTCTCCTCCTCCTCCTCCTCCTCCTCCTCCTCCTCCTCGTCCTCCACCTCCTCCCCCCGTCCAGCTTATGGTGGTGGTGGTGGAAAACAAGCCCATCATGAGCGATCCAGGTACTTGGCGCGCGGTCGCCAGATCCATGGATCGGGGAGAGCTCCCTCCCCGAAGTGCGGCCGGCGCCGCCTCGCGCGGCGACAGAGGTCCGCGATCTCCCCTGGAAACGGGGCCCGTCGCTAATCCACGCCCCCTTGACCCATGTTTGCGATCGCCTGACATAACGCGGCCCTACGGCGGACGTTGGGGGCGATCTGGGCACCCGCGGAGAGCTCCAGGCGAAGCGCAGCTGATGGAGAGAGCACCCCGAGGCTGGGAGAGCCGCAGGGGTCCGACGGCACGCCCGCGAAGACCGCGGGCCTCGAACGCCTCCCCCACTCCCCACCCCGAGCCTATCTCTCCCCCTGCTCCCCCCGGAACCGGGCAGACCAGCAGGTACCCTTTTCCCCGGACCTCTCCCGGGGTGCGCCCTGACCAGGATTTCGAGGCGAATCCATTGGTGGCGACGAGGGCCTCCCACGAGGCCCAAACAGTGGAAGACGGGCGCAGGGCAGCGGCATGGGGTACCTCTTCCTCCCCTGAGGAACGCTGCCCCCGCGCCCCCCCCCCCCCCCCTCCCTCAGGGGGGCCCGCGGCCACCAGAGGCCACCCGCGCCCAGGCCCTCGACCACGGGGCGCACTGGCGCCCTGCGCCATCGCAAGGGGATGTCAGGACGGCGCGAGCCCGCACTGGGCCGACCTCTGCCCCAAGAGGTCGGTGGAGACGGAGCCTGGACGAGGGCACACGCTCGGGCGAGGAGAACAGAAGCCTCCTAGATGGGGCTAGAGTGGATGGGGTCGAAGGATCGCGCCGCATCGCCAATGCATCGCCGATGTATCAGCGATGCATCGGCGACGTCGGAGATGCATCGGCGACGTTGGCGTGGGGAAGCACGGTCTCCACATCGAGCCGCATCGTCGATGCATCGGCGATGCGGCGCGATCCTCAGACCCCATCTAACCAGACCCCATCTAGGAGGCCCAGAGAGAAGCAAGGCGAGGATCTCTGAGATCCGACGAGGGGCCCCTAAGAGAAAGGCCCCCCAAGTCCTCCCCAGAGGCCCCCGAGAGCCTTCAGAAGGGACCCCGAGAAGCATCCTCGAGGACCCTGGCCCACGTCAACGTCGTCGTCGTCGTCGCCGCCGCCGCCGCCGCTGTCGTCGTCGTCTCCCTTCAGGGTCGGCGGCGCCGCCCGCAAGGCCTTCGCAATCTCGGAGATCCGGCGGCTCTGGAAAATCCCATCGGGCGCCGCGGCCTTCTCACAGTGTTCCGGAAGGCTCTGAGAGCGTTCTGGGACGCTCTGGAACGGGTTGCATCCTCGTCCTATCCCCGTCCGATCGGACTCGGGGGCACCCCCTCCGTGGAGGGTGGAGGAAAGGGTGGCCGAGGCCAAGACTGAAACGCAGAAGCGTCGGTGCCGATCTGAGTCGTCGCCTATCTTGGTCATTGTCGATCCGTGGAGCATCCCCGCGAAATGGAGCACGGCCGGCATGGACCATATGACCAAGATCGGCGCCGACAATATCCCGCCAGATCTCGGGGGTCGCTAACGGTACCCCTGGCCCAAAGTACCCCCCAGCTTTTCGCTCCGTTCTGGAGCCCCTGGGGCTCCCTGGGCCTCGTGATAGGTACTCTGGAGACCGTGGGGGCCTCCTCGGGAATCATGAGGGCACATTGGGCCAGGGGCAATTTTCGCAACACCCGAATATCGTGGTCCTGGCCATCGTGATTCTTCCACGACGACGACGACTCCCAGAGATCGTCCTGGCAAATCCCTCGAGCTGCGCGAGAGAGCAGTGGCCCCGAGGGCCCCCTCCTGAAGAGGCCAACAGGAAGCCACAGGCTGGCCGCCGTCTCGAGCGCATCGGCATCCGCGCCGCCGCATTCGGAGCTCGTCGGTCGTCAGACGTCGGTCGGTCGTTCGTCATCGGCCGTTCGTGTCCGTCGTTCGTGTGTCGGTCGTTCGTCTTCGGTCGTTCGTGTTCGTCGTCGGCACTCGTTCCTCCGCCTCTCGTCGATTCTGAGGCGTCGCTTGCCGCAGGTGGCAATCCGCGGGCCACAACGATCTCGACACCCTTCCCCCTGATAATTTTTGCGGGCGCATGGTTATGGTGAAATCCAGATGGGCGCTCGCGCCTCCAAATTCCATTTGTCTGCTGATCTGGTGGTTTGCTGGATGAACCGCATGTGGCGCATCGGCGTGCGTACGCGCAGCGTTGGGCTTGCACTAATACGCCATTGCGGCGTTCCCCTTGGGTTTTCTCCTGCTCCTCCTCATCCTCAGCATCCTGCTACTCCTGCCCCTCCCCCCCTCCGCCCCCCCCCCCTCCAACACATCGTGATTCTCCTCCTCCTGTTCCTCCTCCTCCTCCTCCTCCTCCTCCTCCTCCTCATCATCATCATCATCATCATCATCATCATCATCACCATCACCATCACCATCACCATCACCATCATCATCATCATCATCATCATCATCATCATCATCATCATCATCATCATCATCATCATCATCATCATCCTACTCCGTTGCGTCCATTCCCACTCCTCATCATCATCCTCACTGCTCGCCGTCGTCGCCGGTCGTGACCGCCATCGTGCGCTTCTGGCAGCAACGGAAGCGTCCCCGATCGGCGGCACTGGTTGGAAGCCACTACAATAGTGACGTGTCTCCGTGGCCCAATGGGCCCCTCCCCTTGTCCGGGAGCGGTCGCGCGGGGCCCTCCGAGCATGCGACCGGCGCCCGACAGGTGAACGAACAGGCGACGGGCGCCCGACCAGGGAACGATCACGCGACAGGTGCGCGACAGGTGAACAGTTCTGTTGCCGCTCTGCATCTGCTTTGGGCGTTCTAGATTGTTCGCTCCTGCGTTTAGTGCGACGTGCAATTCTATACTTCTACTTCGGTTCTGGAACTCATTGCGGTGAGTCTGGAACGCTCGTGGTGGTTCTAGAATTGTTTCTTGTGCTCTAGAACTATCTTCGCCTTTCGAGATCTTCGTTTGGCGGTTTGGTAAGAAACGCCCGCAAATACTGTCGGCGGTCGAGCTTCCTCTCTGATTGCAACGGGAGGCTGCCTTGATTGGAGCCTGGCATGGCCCTTCGTGCAATCGGGCGCCGAGTCCGCTCGGCGCGAGCGTGCATCGGCGCAGAGCGTTTCGCTTACCCCACTGCCACAGCTTGCCCGCAGCGTTCCTGTCGAGGAAAGCGATGGGTGGCGATCGATTCGGCCAAACGGCAATTTAGTTTACACGCTCTGCCCTCCCCCCGAAGACAGTGTTCGATCTCCAATGTCAGCCTTCCGTCCCAGATCCGTTCCCGATGGTCCGGGAGGCCTGAACAAAAAGACCCCAGAGGCCGACATGCAGGACCAAAGCACTCGGATTGGAAAAACAGTCCGCCCAAGTCTCGTGACGTCGCCCATCGCACTGGGGTGCCCGACGGACAAAATGGCGACGATGCCCAGTAGCAGACGATGTCCGATATCTGCGGAGGCCATTGTTTTGGGCAGTCGACGCCTGTCCCGAACAAGACACCGCCTGCAGAGACAACGCCAGCGACCCCTGTTCAAGATGGGCAGAAACTGCCAGGAGGCCTCCTAGATGAAAAGGGCCCTGGGACACACAAATAAGTAGACACAAATCACAGGATTCACCATATGTTCCATATCTTCTAGGTTCTTGTCTCACCCCCACTTCCCATAGTTTCTCATATTTTCTGGGGAATCGACGATTCATTGCGTCTGTGTCTGTTTTTGCCTCCTGATAGATGGGGTCGGAGTAGATGGGGTCAGAGGACCGCGCCGCATCGGCGATGCATCGGCGATGCATCGGCGATGCATCGGCAATGCATCGGCGACGTGTGCGATACATCGGCGCCATCGGCGTGAAGAAAATCTGGCTCCACATCGAGCCGCATCGGCGATGCACCGGCGATGCGACGCGATCCTCCGACCCCATCTGCTCCGATCTCATCTTGGAGGCCGCGAAAATAAGCAACGCCCGCAGAGACAACGACACCGAGCCCTGTTCAGAAGGAGCCCGCTTCTTAGAAGGCGCCAGCCTTACATCTACAGATGAGGCCAGCGCCTTCTAAGAAGCAGGTGTGCTTCGAAAAAACTCTCCTCCCTCCCCCCACTCCCCTCTGTGCGTCGCTGATGGTCTTCGTCCCCACTGCCTCTGGAGGAGCCTGCGGGGCCGTATCTCGGGCCCCGACGGCAACTCGGGGCGATGCGGGCCCGCCCCGTAACGCTCTGGGCGGGACGCGGCTGTAAAGCGTCCCGAGGCGAGAAAGCCTCCAAGAAATAGCGAGATTGTCGAATCAACCGCGCCCCAAGAGGTCCCCAAGAGGCCCCCGAACGGCCCCCTAGAGGCCTCAAAACAGCCTCCAAGAGGCCCCCGAGAGGCCTCCCAGGAGATCCCAACGAACATCCACTAGGCTTCACACCCGCAGCCCAGGCACGGTGGCGGCATGGGCCGAAGGCCGAAGGCCATGCGATAGTCCAGTCTACATGTTTTTCGGAGGCGCGCCGGGGGGAGGGGGGGGGTGAAGCGAGACGGGGCAGGCCTTCTCACAGGCGGCGGGGGTCTTCGAAGAAGGCCAACACGGCCTCTCGGAGCGCCCGAGGCCCCCTGAGCCGTCTGCAGAGGCCCAGCCCCTGTGCCTTCCCCCCTCGGCGCGCCGCCGAACTTCGAGCAGGCGGCGCCCCCCCCACCCCCTCCGAATTCGGGTTCCCACTGACCCGGGCCAGTGCAAACCCGGAGCAGGCAGGTCTTGCAGGATCCTGCGCGCTGGCCCGGGTCGGTGCACCTCTGGCGCTGCAGGGCCCTGCAGGATCTGGCGCCCTGGCTGACACCCGTTTGCGTCGGTCCCCGTTTCAGGCCCCCGTTAGCATGGGTGAAGCGGGTCCTGAGGGAAACGGGTCCTGGACCCCGGTGCTTTCCCCGGGACGAATTCTTCATCCTGAATCATTTTCTGACGGTCCCGGGGCCTGTGGAGGAAACCGAAATCCAGATAAAACTCAAGACCCGCTTCCTCCATGGCGGAAGCGGTAGCCCCGTCCCAACGCTTCCGACGGACGCCGCGGCCGCGGCCGCTGGGGGGCACGTCGCGGTTCAGCGTGTGGGACGCGAACACCTCGCCGCGCGCGGGGGTGGCGGGACGGCGAGCGAGGGGGGAAGTGAGAAAGAGAAGGCCTCCCCAGAAACCGGCGGGACTTCTCAGAAGAAGGGGAAGGCACAGAAAACGTCTTCAGAAGGCCGGAGGACTCCCAAGCCTCTTGACAAGGCGAGCCCCTTCTCACTGCCCCCCCCCCGGGCCGGCCGCCGAGGGTGGCCTCCCCCCGCTCGCCCCCTGTGCGACCGGCGTCGTCGTCGTCGTCGTTGTGGTGGTCGTCGTCGTCGGCCTCCAGCCTCCATTGCATCCTACTCCTCCAGCTCCTCTTCATGCGCCAGCTCTAGCTCCTCCTCCTCCTCCTCCTCCTCCTCCTCCTCCTCCTCCTCCTCTTCATTTTCCGGCTCCTCCTCCTCTTCCTCCTCACCCTCCTGCATTTCCTCCTCCTTTTCCTTTTCCTCCTCCTCCTCCTTCTCCCCCTCCTCCCCCTCTATCTCCTCGCCTTCTTAAGATGTAGTCGAAGCAGCGTAATATCCAATATGTAAGCAATGCAGTTGTACCGGGGGCGGTCTAGTTTAAGGTTGCCCGCTCCTACATGGCGATGCGCTCTTCGTACTCGTCGTAGGAGATGCGGCCCGCCTCGTGGACGCCTTTTTCAATGCGGATCCGCAGTCGGTGTTTTCTGCGATATGTGTCCCGACAGTTGCCTGCAATATTGCGTCGATCTCGTGATCGGAGCTCTTCTGGTAGCCGTCGTAGCTCGGCTGGTAGCCCTCGCAGCCCAGGTAGCCCTCGGAACTCTGCTGGCAGCCCTGGGCCCTCGCAGCTCCGCGTGTGGCCCTCGCAGTTCAGCTGGTGGCCGAGGTGGCTCAGGATGCAGCGCTCGTACTTCAGCCGGTGGTCCTCCCAGCTCAGCACTTGGCCCAGGCGGTTCTGGTGGCACTGGTAGTTGGGCTGGTGGCCCTTGAAAAGCTGGTGGCTCCCGAAGCTCTTCTGGCAGTCCTTGAGGAGCAAAGGGTGGCTCTCGGAGCTATGCGCGCCCAAGTGGCTCAGCTGGCGGTGCTGGAAGCTCCGCTCGGTCAGCTTTTGATTGTCGTGGTTCTGTTCGTGGCCCCAGTGGCTCAGCTGGCTTCTTGAGGCAGCTACGGAGGGGTGACGTGGCGGACCTAGTGCGCGGCAGCTTCCACGTCGTCATTTCCAGGGCCGCGCGGTGGTAGTAGCGTCGTCTCTGCTGGCCAAGCTGACTGTTCCCGCCAGGTGGCACGGAGGCTGGTGCCAGTGGCTCTCGTAGTTCAGCCGGTAGTCCTCGTAATTCAGCTGGCGGTCCTCGGAGCCCCGGCTGTGGTCCTCGAAGACCTGCTTGTGGCTATGGTAGCTCAGCGCGCGTTCCCAGTAGATCAGCAGGTGGTCCTCGTAGCTTAGCCGGTGGCTGTCCTTGCTCAGCAGTTTGCCCTTGCAGTTCAGCTCGTCGCCCTGGTAGCTCTGCGGGCAGCGCTCGCATCTCTGCTTGTGGCCCGCATAGCTCAGGTAGTGGCTCTCGCATCTCCGCCCGTGGTCCTCGTTGCCCAGCTACTGGCTCTCGTAGCTCCACTGGTGGCTCTTGCGCCTCAGCAGGTGGTCCTCGTGGCCATTCATGTGAGGTGGATCTTCTCGTGGCGTTCGTAGCTCAACGCGCGGCCGTTGTAGCTCAGGCTGTAGCACTCGTGGCTCTGCTGGTGGCGCTCGTAGCTCGGCAGGTGGGTCTTGAATCCTTTATGGTGGCTCTCGTAGCTGTGCCCTTCGTAGCTCAGCGTGTGGTTCTCGAGAGGCCGCCGGTGGCCCTGGTAGCCCTGCTGGTGGCTGTAATGGCTCTGTTCGTTGCCCACGAAGCTCAGGCTGTGGTCCTCGTAGTCTTCAGGTGGACCTCGTGTGCGTTTTCCGGTGGCCATCGAAGCTGTCCTCGCGGCTCTCGTAGCTGAGTGGCTCCGGCAACTCACCTGGTAGTCCGCGTATATCTCTGCTGGTGGTCCTCGTATCCGAGCTGGTGGCGCTCGTGGCTCTGCCGCTGGCCCTCGTAGCCCTGCCTGTGGCTCTCGTAGCTCAGCTCGCGGCCTTCCCTGCTCAGCTCGTGGCTCTTGTGGTTTGGCTGGTGGCTCCCGTAGCTCGGCAAGTGGGCCTTGGAGCTCTCCTCCGGTGACTCTCGAAGCATTGCGTGTGGTCCTCGTACTTCAGTTCGTGGTCCCCGAAGTTCCCCCGGTGGCCCTGGCAGCTCCGCTGGTGGCTGTGGCAGCTCGGTTTGAGGCCCGTGGGGGCACGCTCTCTTCGTGGCTCTTTTGGTCCAAAGCGGAATCGTCGTCTGCCAATTCGTGGTGTTCCACGTTCTGGGTGTCTCTATAATCCTGGCGGCTGTCGTAGCCATGCGGCCCGTCGTGGTCCTGGAAGCCTGATTAGTTCTAGGAGTAGGAGGACCGGTCGCTAGCGAAACGATCGTCGTAGTCGTACTCGTCGTGGGCGGCGAGGCCGTGCTCGCACTCGTCGTCGGCGGCGCGGCCGGTGTCCGCTGGCACGTCCACGACGACCTACTCACTGACCTCGACGGGCTGCTCGGTGGTGTCGTCCCTGGTGTCGGTCTTGATGGCGTTCTGGTCCTGATGCTCGTGCTCGGGTTGCCTGTCACGCGGGTGGTTTTCGTACATGGGCTGCCTGCTACGCAATTCGTCGAACCTGGGCTGCATGTTACGCGGCTCGTGCTTGGACGCTCCAGCGGGGGCAGCCGTAGCAATGGAAATGATGTCGTCGGGTCGAGGTTGTACCTCATGCCGGACGTTGTACCCCACTCGTTTTTGGGCCGCGTATGCTCGCGCCCATGTTACCCTGTGCGTGTATGGTCTCGGCATCCTGGCCGGTACGTCTCAACGAATGTGAGTAAGTCTCGAACCCTTGTAATTCAACGGTCCAACATCTGGTGGTTGATGCTGTAGTCGCGGTGAACCTTAACTTCTAATGATCTCGAATATTCCACGTCGGTCTTGACGATGTTCGCGTTGATGTACGTCACGCTGATTTGGGTGATCTTGGGGAGCGTATGGCGCGGCGCGCAGTCCGCCGCGTGGCGGGCAGCGCGTTCGGGCCGACCCCCCCTCCCGCAGGTGGGCGGGAGCACCCCCCCCGCAGGGGCCAGACTGGTCCTCCGTTTCTTCCTCCTCCTACTCCTCCTCCTCCTCCTCCTCCTCCTCCGCCTCCTCCTCCTCCTCCTACTCCCTCCTCCACCTCCTCCTCCTCCTCCCTTTCCTCCTCCTACTCCCTGCCTTTTTCTTTGCCCGCGTGCCAGACAGTGCTGCTCCAGAAACTGGTTTGCCTCCCTGTCCTCCCAATCATCACTTGCCCCCCTCCTTCCTCCTCCATCCTCCACCTCTCGTCCTCATATTCGTCATTATCTTCCCCTCTGCCTTTCGTTTTTGCTCCCTATCTCCGCATCGCCAATGCGGCCAACGCAATCGTACTCCTACTCCTCCTGGTCCTTCCTACTCCCTCCTCCTACTACACCCTCATCCTCCTCGCCCCTCCTCCCTGGGGGTGGGGACGGCCAAACCTCAGCCTGCTGGATGTTGACCAGCACCCACTTCTTCTCGACAACCGCCTGCAGGGGGCAACACCACCCTCCTGGATCCTGCGCTCCCCTCCTCAGCAGAACCGCTCCCACATCGCATTCAACCGCCTTCCATCCCTCCTGCTGGCTCCTCCTTCTCATCATAAACAAAGAAAGTACCCCCAATCCTTTGGGAAAGGACCTAACTTAGGAGGGCCAACAACATTAGGGATAAGGGGGTTCTTGTTGCAGGTGTCTAAGACGGCACCACCCACATGTTTAGGGATAACCCTAATAACCGATGACCTAAGTTAGGCTCAGGGGTCATCAGGTTCAGGGGTTGCACTACACTCGGGCCTAAGCCAGAAGGACATCCTTCAAGAACGTGAGACCCTCCGTCGGCCAAACCACACAGAACATCTAAGGGTACCCTCCCCAGATTGACAAGAACGTCCATCAAACACAAAGAACAGTAGGGTCCCTCCCCGAATCGACCTCGATCTTCTATCTCGGTCCGACTGAACCAGTGACCCAGCTCATACCGATGGGCGGCTGGGAGCAGGGCTCGGACCTCGTCACCGAAGGCCCCAGAGGCCCCAGAGGCCCTGGGCTCCCCCTCTGAGCCCATCGGCGTCTGCGCCCGTGCAACTACCGCACAGACTGCGACGTCGAGACTGCTCTGCGATCGAGCACGCATGTTTTTGTTTACCCATCTGGCAGGAACTCGGCGCGGTAGCCACCCGATGCGTCGAAAGTCCGTCGACTGGAGCCGAACTTCAGTCGAACTTGAGAGAGCCGAACTCGAGTCGAACAGATCCGATATCACTGCAAAGAGAAAACGCAAACTTCCCGCGAGGCTGCGAAAATGGCCGTAAGGTGCCTGCGTGCAGTTAGCAACAATGGCCCCGGCGAACGGCGGGGGATGGGTGATGGCTGCAGACCCTCCGTGTAACCAGTGGCCTCCGATGGGGCACACGACAACCTAAATATACAGCTAACGCGGGCTGGCAGTGCATGTCGATGGCAATCGCTATGCACATACCAGGCGCCCGAAAGATTCACACTGCAGGTGCGCGCGAAGAATGTGTGTTGAAGCTAGAACTGAACTGGCAGAGCGCTACAGTAACCACAATACCAGGCACCACTCGAGATTCCTCGATAACAATGCGGTAAACAATTAAGGACATCCGATCACCCGGTGAGGGTAGAAGCCGAGGTCACATTCTCACCGTGAAGACAATTGAGCAGGATTTGGGTACTCATATGGCTGGATGATCTCGTGACTTCAATCGCGGCGAGCAACCAGGTTATAAACGAGGGTTCTGCCGTGGCCGACTCAAACTCTCATCCAAGGAGTGAGGGGGAGGCCAGGGAGAGGACAATGAGGACGCAATGGAAAAGGACGCAACGGCAAGAGACAATGAGGAAGACAATCAGGAGGAAGGCCAAAATGAAGAAAATGAGAGAAAGACAATGAATGAGAGAAAGACAATGAGGAAGACAATGAGCAGAGGAGGGAGGGTTGGAGGGACGCGGACAATGAGGCGCAACGGCAAGACACACTACACGGTTGGCGGCGTAGCCCTAAAGACGGCAGCCCCGGATGCGGACTGGATGGCGCTGCTCACGGTGGTCAAGACTCCGATGCCGAGGGTAGTAGCAATCTGTGCTACAAATGTTGGGCCGAACGACGCCCCCGACCCGGAACCCCTGGTCCAACGACCTGCAGGTGAGCCACAAGCTGCTGACGAAACTACTTCTGGGAGCCCTTCAACACGTCGTACTCGAAGGTCTCCGCCACGGCCTATTTGGGTGCCAACAGGACAACGTCAATTGTGGACGTCAGCGCCAGCCCAACAAGCCACTCAACCGTGCCACCCCCTGACGATGCGAACATGGCGGAGATCAAGGCCAACCACGCACAAAAGAGTACCTCGTACATCGTGAAGCGATCCCAGGTCTGGCTAGCGTGGCGCAGCCACGCGGTGGTCAGAAGCCCTAACTTCTTCAGACTCGGCACTACGCTGCTGTCCTCGCCATCTCCCTTCATGGCCTTGACCGTGGCGCCAACGTAGCAATGAAGATCGTGCTGGCGCAGCCTGGAAGCGAAGAACGCAAGGTCGGGGGACCCGAAAACCACAAAGAGGAAGACGAAATGATGCACGATGGACTGCGCAAGGCTCACGCGCAGGCATGCGCTCAACGCCGACCCGAGCGCAAGACCAGCGTCCAACTCGACGTCCGTCCAAAGGTTGGAGACATAGACGAGAAACACGCCCCCTCACCGACACGAGCCACGCAATGCGGATGCGGTTTGTCCATAGTTGCAAACGAGTCTGGCGCTCGTCCATTGAGCTCATGAGCGCCAAAAGGGCACAACGCGGGAAAAACTGGCGTCTCCAAACGAAGCACGATGGCAATGGTACGCAGAGCCTACCATAAATTGTGAACATTTGCGACAGTATCCCTGACACCTCAGTGTCCTAGCCCATAACCATATAGGCGACGTACATGCGACGTGCTTCGAAAACTTTGACCAGGATGAAGGGGCATGGGATGCATGCTGGGTGCATGGTATGTCTGGTAGATGGCTCTCCCCCCAGCCGCTGCTGATCTCCAGTGGCGAGAGCGCGCCGCGCAAGACCAGGGGCCGCTGGACTGCTCCGAGGCCATCTGGACGAAGCTCCTGCTGGAGATCCCGGGCTCCCAAGCGCCGCGAACCGCCGCCTCGTCGCCCGGTCCCCCGCGGAGGTCCGCGCGCGGGCTCGGACCCGAGGTGGGCCCCCGGGCCTCGCCCCCCCCCCCGCCCCCCGTCGGTGTAGATCTCGGGCTCCCAGGCGCCGCGAACCGCCGCCTCGTCGCCCGGTTCCCCGCGGAGGTCCGCGCGCGGGCTCGGGCCCGAGGTGGGCCCCCGGGCCTCGCCCCCCCCCTCCGCCCGCCCCCCGCCCCCCGTCGGCGGTTCAGAGATGGGGTCCTGAGAGATAGGGGGCCCAGGGCTAGGTCGGGCATGTCTCCCTGTAGGCGGATTCTGGCAGAAAAGTTGGAAATTGGAAATAATCCAAAAATACTCGAGAACTGCCGAAAAATAAGAGGGAAATCATTCCATGACAATTTCTGGACTATTCTTGAACATTCCTCCTGTAAAGGGACGTGCCCGACTTGAGCCTAGGGATACGGAATGTTCTAAAGGTGGATCTACGTTGTCTAGGGCTCCGTGCCCTTGGGACCCTGCCCTTCGGGGCCCCATCTTTGAACCGACCCCGACATGTCCTCGGGGATCTTCTGATCCGTGTCAGTCCAGACCCGGGTCAGCAGGAAGCCAAAAAACTGCACAAGAGACAAAAACTGCAACGCAGGGCTTCACAAACCCGGGTCAGCCAATGTGCGCGGCCGCCGCGCGGCCACGAGCGGCTCGCGAACCCGGGTCAGCCAGAGGGGGTCTTCGCAGGATCCTGAAGGATTCGGTGCCCTGGCTGACCCCCGTTTGCATCGACCCCCGTCTCCTGAACCCCGATGTCCGCCGCCGCGCACCCCGCCGGCGACGTCGAGGGCGGCGGCGGCTCGTGCCGCGATGAGCTGCGGGGTCGATCTGCCTCCGAGACGCAGCAACATGGGGCGATGAGGCCTGAGCGGCGAACTCAGAATCGGGGGCGGGGCAGAAAGCAAGGCTGAACCTAAACGGTGTTTTTCGCTTTCGCGTTGTTTTCGTTTTCCCTCGTTTTGTCTTCAATCCGCCTTTGACGCAAAACTAAATCGAAACGAAAACGGCCCACGAAATCGCCAAAACACCGTTTAGGTCCACCCCTGGCAGAAAGGTGTGGTTGGGGCAAAGGTGGGTTGAAAGGAAAATCGCTCCAAACGGCCCCTGGAATAAGGAAACGCGTCGAACGGGAGCATCCAGCTGGGCCCGTTCCCCCCCCCCCTTTGGAGAGCCCTCATTCTACGAACCCCCGAAATAATCAATGGCATGACACCACCGGTGGCGCCAAAACCTCCGATACCACAAAGGTCATCCGCCCACTTTTTACCAGCCGTGCAGGTGGGGGGAGGAGGCGGAAGAATTCTTCCTCCAAGACGACTCGCCCAGCCAAGGCGACCCAATAGAGCGGGAGGTGCATTCACGTCGCTTCCGACGATATGCGGAAGTGAGGCTGCATACAGAAACTGCCCGAATCGACTCAAGAGGTGCGTACCTTCTGGCCCAACCGGATATAAAGCAGGCGCAAAAGTAACCGCGACCAAAAAACCTCCAGGAACCACAGCTTCAACCAATTTGACAAGGATACCGCGAGGATATGGACGAAATTGTGGGCGGCCAAGATGGTCACCCAGGCCCGCGGAAGCCGATGCACCTACCGCGACCCCCCTCTGACAAACAGCCTGCATCAGTGGTTTTCGAAGGACAGACTGCTGCATTCAAGCCTGTTTCTGAGCACATGGTGGGAAACTCCAACCTCGTGAAGGAGCAAAAATATGAGGTCCTCTGACTGCAGCCACTTCCTTAGAATCGGCCACAACACCCCTGGCCATGGCATCCTCACGACTCGCCCAGTCCAATTTGAAGCGTTGTCTGTCATGACGTAGACGTCAACCATGCTTAAGTCCCTGTTGAGCCCCCATGCCACCTGCCGCCGTTGTTGCCGAACTGATGATTGCGCCCTTCCCCGTCCCGTGCCCTGCCGATGCATTCCTTGGCTTTGCTGAAGAGTTCGCCGATCGAGGGCAAAACACTCAAAATAAGAAGGTCGGAGTGGGCGCAGACGCTGTCGCAGGCTCAGCGGGGTGCGAAACCAAGCCTGCCGATCTTGAGCCTGGAGCCTCCAGCGCCTCAGCGGGTGTTTCCAATACTTTTGCTCCTCAGCCATGGAAGTATGTTTCCCCTGTAAGCGCCCCAAACCCCAAACGATTCTTCTGTTGCCGTCTGAACCGAAGCATTGAGGGCCTTCTTTCACACCCCAACCTCATGCTTCCCGCCATCACTAATTTTGATGCCCTCCGTCGTCAATCCACCTTCCAAAAGAGCTCGTCACGAAATCTTGTACGTATCTCCAGCGACCAAACCACGTCTATTGGACGAGGCGACCTGCATAGCCAACTTCTCCACACCATCCTTGTAGACAGCGTGGCACTTTTGATAATTATGTAATGCACTGAATGCCCCTTTGCACGTGCAACATACGCTCGAACCTGCAACTGGCCAGTTCGATGCACCGCTCATTACATTTCTCATACCTCTTTGACGCTTCCGAGTTGCCATGCGCTGCCATCGCTTTCTGTGCCTCCCTCAAGCTTGGGAGCTGCTCAACAGTGTATGTCGGCCTGGGCTTTCCATCATGTCCATGCCATCCCCCCTGTACCCCCAAACCATCCCGAGCAACCGAACTGGAGGCCAACCTCCAAAGGCTGATCACGAACCCGGCCAACAGCATCGCGAGATAGAAATTGCAAAGCTGATGTAGCTTTGCCCCAAACTCCCGTCGGCGCAGCGGTCCATTTTTTTAACGCCCAGCACAGAACACCCGAGCAGGTCGCGCTCGAACCGCGCGGCCCACCTCCGAGGAGGGTGCACAGAGTGCCTGCACGAATTCACACGCAGTCGGCCGAAACAGACGCAGGCTGGAGCCCGAGAACAGCGGCGGCTCACGTAGCCCAGAGACGCCACAGCTGTATGTAGCCAGCCAGAGAACACGGACGCCGGCGCCACACCCTCTTGTCCGCCGGCCCAAAAAAGCGATGGATTACTCGCAGCAGCGTCGGGACTTTAGTACCCCCCACCTCCGAACGTTAGGAGGCCCCCGTAAGGTTACTCCTTTTAAAGGAACCCTTCCAAGGTGGATCCGGGGGCCGGATCCTACACTGGGCAGGCCAGGCCGAGCGGCAAGAGTCTCTCCCCAAGCTGCGTCCAGCAAGGTTGACCATCGGGCTGCTACCCGCCTGTTTTCCAGAGACGGCCGAAGCCCTCTATGGCACAAGGCTCAGCGGTCCACCTAGCTGCGACCTCGACTCTTTGACCAGCGCACTGTTTGCACCAGCTCCACCATCCCTCGTTCTTGCCACAGTTCTACATGGTAAAGTTCCACCTCTTTCTGTCGCTACAGGGTTTGTACCATCCCAGACCCTCGCTCCAGCCGCCACCATCACGACGCGGTAGGGCCATCCACACAAAGAAGGGATGATTCTTCGTAACGAGTGAAAGATTGATTGACGTTTGGCGAACCAGCTTGACCAGAAACAGCTCCTTGGACCAAAATGATTACGGATCCCATGCCCTCCTGCTCCTACTTCTTCTAAACCTCCTACACCTCCACCCCATCGTAGAAAAGTTCGGCGGCACCAGCCGTAAGGCCTTCACAATAGGGCTGATGATGTCTGGTGGTGCGACAATTTCCCTCCTCACCTCCACGCCCCCTCCGCTTATCCTTCTCACAGGGGGCGGGTCGAATGCGACACCGCCGAGGAAGAGGAACCTTCGATATGGTGTCGTAGAAGGTCCCGGTCTCGTTATACGAGGGTGGAGCGAAGAGCTGGTTGATCGCCTCCGCAGCGGCTTGCGTCGGGGTGCACAAGAGAGGGTGCGAATCCATCTGATGGCACGAGCGCTCCCAGAGAGGGGAGGGGCAAAATCAGGCAGCATCGGACCGGGAAAGCGGGTCGAATCGAAACATGCGTCGGATAAGGCTGTATCGGCACTCGCCGCGCATGGATGCACACCATCGCCCGTGCCAGCATCGGGCCACATCGGATTGTCGGAGAATCTGAATCGAGTCGTATCGAGCCGACCATTGTCGGTCTCGTATCGGATCGATGGGATCGAAATGGGCCCAGACGGGCCAGGCCTGCAAAATACACACGTCCACACATGTCGTTTGAGGGAGGCTCTATTGCGTCTTTTCCGAAAGCGCATGGGCACGCGGCAAGCGCAGGAATCTCGCTCTGGACCAACGGCCGCGGCCAACGCCAGCTCAGGTAATGAGCCAGCTTGGGCTATGAGCGCCCACTGCTCGCATCCGCGGCGCTACAAGACCCTGCGTGGCCTGGCCCGACGGGTGCCGAGACAGCCCCCGTAGCCTCGGCCTGGAGACCGGGGCGGCTTCCACGACCACGGCACTCCTCCAGAGAACCACCAGATCGAAGATCCGCAATCGTGTGCCACCCTCCTCGGAGACCAGCTTCGAAAGCGCTCTATGACTGACGGCCCCAACTCTGCAGTCCTGGGGACCTTTGGATGGGGTCGTGACCGATGTGTCGGCGACAAGGGTAAAGAGACTATCCGGTTCTGGACCAGGACCCAACGCCGAGGCATCGGCGGTATGCAGGTGCGGTGCGATCTGGCAGCCTCATAAACTACCACGCCGCTCTGACGGCCAAGGGGCGTAACAAACAGGGCACACCCTCCAGCGCCCAGAAGCAAACTTGGTTCGCGACTTTTTGTGCTGATCCTGTATCCTTGCCCCTTACAGGATTAGGAGGGCACCCTCTTGGAAGACCCATCAAGTTACCTGACGTACTTGCTTGAAAGCGCTTATGTCTTGGAGGGCACAGCCTTGAAATTTCGATGCGCGCGGCCTCGTATCGGACAGGGCTGGATTGCGGGGAGGAAGATGAAAGATCCGACACCGATACTTACAGTCAAGCCGTATAATAAGGATGCACTATAAGGATGCAAGGGCCTTGGAAGACCATGTCGACACTTCGCGAGCGGGACGCGGCCAGCGAAAGCGGCCAAGGACGGGCCCAAGGGGAAGAATGCAAGGGTTAACCTTGGAAAGCCGCTCATCCTTACTATGCGGGCTGACTGTACTCCCTGGGCGTAGCCAGGCACGCACCCAGACAGGAAATTCGAAGCGAAGCCAGCCGCGGCGACGACGGCCGGCCGTCTCGATTGGAGAACTCTGGACGAGGTGTGCTTCGCGCGCGCGAAGTTCTAGCAAGGTTGAGCCCTTGCAAGGCCAATAGCTGCATGCATATGTCCAACAACAAATGGAACAGGAGATGGAGAAGTAACAATCACGGCGACCCTAGCGGCCCCAAGCGAGGGAACGCGGATCAAGCAATCCGCCCCAAGATGACCCCCTCCACCGCCAACAGGGTCCCAAAAGGCCACCAAGAGGCCCTAAGAGGTCGGCAAAAAGCCCCCAGGAGGCCCGTAACATTGTCCTCAGAGAAGTCCCCAAGAGACCCCAAAAGGCTTCGTAACGGCTTCTAAGACGCCCCCGAGAGGTATCTTGGAGTTTGATCCCGGTGCGCCATTGGCGCGCTTGAGCAAATCTGATGGGTCCCGGCTGCCCTGGTTCTGGCTCGTATGATGCATTGTTTCAGTTCCAGCCTCACTTCGAACCCTTCTGAGACCATACTCCACCCATCCCCCTTGACAACTGCGCGTTCTCGAGAAGGAATAGGATCAGCAGTCCAAGGAGGAGAAAGTTGACGCTGAGGAGGATGATGAAGATGACTCGAACGAAGACGCCCACCCAGGTCCCGCACAAGTCGTCGACCCTGGCTATGCCGACACGCTTGAGCCAATCTGGGGGATCACGGCTGCTCCAGCGCCAGCTTCTCAGTTCAAGACGGCCCCAAGACGGCCCAAGAGGGCCCCGAGGCGCCCCCATCGTCTAGACGGCCCGAGAGACCCCGAGACGGCCAAGGTGGCCCAACCAACCTCCGGTGGGCCCCCTCGACGCCCCCAGCCCTCCCATCTTCACTCCTCCCGGTGGTTCTCGGGGGCATGAATAGATGGATCGAGCGTCAGGCGGCGGTTCGGGAAGATTCGGGCCAGGAAGAGGTGGGAGGACAAGGGGAGGTCCAAGACTGCTTCACCCGCGTTTCATCACAGCGCCATGGACTGCGTTCATGCCTAAGCGCGTGCGAAGCGCACGCGTGGCTCTAGTCAAGCAGGTTCGCAGCGTTGAGAACAACATGGACGACCCAACGGACGGAACCCCACGCGAAAAAAAATCACAGTTCTATAACAAAATCACTAAGAATGCTTCAAGGCTTTTCACGGGAACGTGCAGGGACGCGAAAAAACCTCCGCAAGTTACCATTGGATGTGTCTTGAGTTCTTGGGCCCGCTGTAAGTGTATAGTAGAGCGTCGCCAGGCTGAATGCACTGGGGCTCTCCTGGGGTCACTTGGGACCGTGACTGGTGCACCTAAGGCTGCCATTTGGGGCCTCTGGGTAGGTTGCTCGGCCTGATGGCTCTCCGTACGCCTGATCCCAAGACGACTCCGTCGTCACAACCCTCTTAAGACCATCCTTGGAAGGTCCCCGCGAGACCGTCTGAGGAACGAGCTGGCGGCCGCCATTGGCAATCTTGAGCATTTCGGGCCCTACTCGGGACGTTTGGGGGCCCGCTTCTCGCCTCTGGGGGCGCCTCGCAGGCCTGCTCAGGATCCAGGGGGATCGAAAAGAGGCCAGGAATGAGCGTGGGATATGACGGGCTGGGGCCTACCCTAGACAGGGATTCGAGGTCCACGTGATTGGCCCTCCAGGTCCTTGCTGGTGCAAGTGCGAATACACTTTGGCAAATATGAGAACTTAGGATCAAACATCCTTTCAACATACGAAGAATCGATTCTACACGGTGCAACATATACATGAAACACACATGTGTGCCGTCTGGGCGCCCTCCTGGGCCGGCGCCCCTCTGCACCCAAGAAGGCGATGTGTGAAACCCATCCGAAGCGGGAACACATATTCTCCCGACAACCAACCGAGACAACATTGTGGACATCGGCCGCACTCGTTCGTGGCGGAGAGCGTACCAACATGCACCGTCATCCTCGCCGTCGTCCCCACCACCAGCACGACCAGCCATGACCATTGCCATCAACACCTCTCCAACCATCACAACCACCGTCACCGCTAATGGCCATTGGCATCCATTACCGCCAGCTCCATGATTCGGGGATGGACAGAACCCCTTTGGTAAAATGTGGTTTAGTGAAAACGACCTCGGGCCCAAACCTGGCGGGCGCAAGCCTGGAAAATGACGCCCGCGGCGCCCTCTCGAGAACCGAAAAAGGACAAGTCACTAATCGACGCGTCAGGGTAGGAGGTCTATCAACCTCCGAATGATCACCACCACGAGCAAGAATACGACTCGAAAGGAGGAGCGGGCAACGGTAACAGAACGGATGAGGGGTGCGGACGTCGCCATGATGACAGTGTGGGTGACGATGGCGACCTTGCGGGCGATGAAGTCGGTGACGGAACTGATGATGACGACGGCTCGGCGATGGATCCGAGTAGGACGATGATGGTGGCGGTGATGATAGCAATGATGACGGCGATCGCGACGACGGTAACAGAGCGCAGTCTGGGCCGCTCTGGTCTCTGAGCGTATTGCCTCGAGCGACAATGTGCGTGTCGGCGCAAGCAAGCGCCGATCATCTGAAAAAGCGTGAACACACAATGGCGATGCATATTTTCTCCACCCGAGTCCACGCCCACCTCCTCAACCTCCCTCCCCCCCGTCCCCCACTATCTGTATCTTGACACAACTTATGGACAGCACAATATGGGCCCTGTACTGACCTGGCTGAGTTAACACCACTGACAACTCTGGCTCTCCGCAAAGCGGGCAAACCTCGCGCTCTCGAAATCTGGGGCGGCATTGGGCCAGACTGGCTCTCGGACTTTCTCGACGAGCCTCTCTGGCTATTGGGCTGGCTCGGGCCGATTTGGGGGGCTTACTGAGCCGTCTTAGCCTTCAGAGGCTCTGGAACGCGAAACCGCGAACCATTGTTTTCACTTGAACTTGAAAAACATGTTGCACAACTGTAACCTCTGTTCGATGGAGACCCTCTTTTTTTGGAGGGGGGCGGGCAGAAGACGCACACGCCGCCTGAACGTGCGAAGCGCATGCGACACCGTCGCCTGACTCCAGCTGGGGCAGCGACCCATGAGCGGAGTAGCCAACCGAAGCGTGTAGGCAAGAAGCAAGCTCGAACCACGCGCAGCTACTACCGCGGCGGCACCTTGTATTAAAGGACCAGCGCACGGCGCTTGCATCAAACCTGTTGTCCAGGGGAGGGGCTCAGCCCTCTGAAATCTGCTGGGTCCTCGACAAGCGACAGATACACTCCCAACAATGCCTCTACCCGCGAAGGCGACCTGTGACACGCAGAGCGTCAATGTCACCAAACAGATGGCTTCAACGTCTCCGCACAATCAAACAAGTGCAGACTCCGCTCGGGGCACCGCCATCCGTGGGCGAGGAAAACAAAAATGCGATTGCGCGGGCCGAGCGATGGAAGGGAATGCCCTTAACCTTTCATCCTGAAGCCCAATTACTTCTTCATTTCGAAAAAGAGCATCTTTACCGGGACGGACCCCGAATTCTTCACGATGTGGTTACTGAAAATTGGTCCCGCGGACATCGGCGCGGGAACCCCGGCAAACGGCTTTATGGGAACGACTTGCCCTTTCTCCATGTCACCGCCTGGGTAGATCGTGATCTCGTCCCCCGCGAGGACGTAGATGAGGTGGTCCTTGTGGTTGTGCAAAGAGTCTGCGGCCCCCGGCTCCATGTTCATCTCGCCAGTGATCCAGTCGTCGTTCTCGGCATGGATCTTGTAGCAGTCGGGCGAGCAGATAAAAGGAGTGACAAAGGGACTGACGACGCCGCAGGGCATGCACTTGGGGAGGGCCTCCACGAAGATGACGATGGCCTCCTGATCACCGACGTTCTTGACCTGGTGAGCGCCAGCCGGGAAGATGGGCGCGGCCCCGGCCGGAATCTCCACGGTGTGCGGCTCCCCGGGCGTCTTGCCGTCTGGGTAGTCCGTGATGCAGAGCTTCGCTGGGGTGACGAAGTACATGGAGTGCGCTGGGTGTTCGTGCGTGGCGTCCTCGGCGCCCGCCGCCATCTTCATCTCCACGAGGCGGGCGTTCGGGATCTCGGCCACCACTTTGTAAGACTCGGGGTTGGAGGCGCAGCAATTGGGGAGGCCGGAGGAAAACCCGAAGACCGGGTCGGACTTCTCGCCCGCTTCGCTCAGTGCGGCTATCAGCTTTTCCTTGTCCTGCTGGCTCATGCTCGAGAAGGCTGCCTTGAGCTCGTCGCTTGGCGCAGAAGCTACCGCGGCTGCAATCCCTTTGGAAGCACCAGAACCCATCGTTACAGAAATGACAGGAGAGCCCTAAGGAGTGCCTCGCCTCCTGCACCACGACAGATGGCAGATTCAACACCCTCTCAGATGAACGGTTCACACCCCTTAGTTGGCCTGAGCCGAATAGCTTGAGCCAAAATGGCTACGGATTGTTCGATTAAGACCCTCTTGGGGTTCCTTACGAAGTCGATGGGGCGTAATGGACTGTCCTGGAAATGTCTGGGGCGATATTGTACCGTATTGGGCAAGTCCTGGCGGATAACACCCCCAAGGCCGAAAACAAGCCCTGGACCCAGAGCTATATACATTCGGTTACGGACATTCGGTGGGGGTGGGGAAGGGGAGTTCGGAAAAGCGGGTGGCCCCAACAAAATCGGGGGGGCATCGCTGCGGTTTCGTCGGTCCTCTTGTGCCGTCGTGGCGTGTCGTGGGCACTCTTCGCGACATTTGTTTGAGAAAAAACGCCTTGGCCAAGTCCGACTGTCCCCAGGTCCGTCGTGGCACCTCTGGAGCGTCCTGGAGAGGCGCCTCCCGGTGCCGTTCTTGTGGGGTCCGACGGGTTTCTCGAAACTGTGTTGGAACCGTCTTGGATGCCCCTTGGGCCATCTTGGCTCCACCTTCGGCGGCCATTTTGGGCACGCCTGGCCCGTCTCTTGGCGTCGTGTTGGGGCCATCTTGAGCCCATTTCGGGCAGTCTTGGGACGACATCCGAGGATCATGTTGGAGCGTCTTGGGGACCTCTTGGGCCCGACTTGGCTATAAGTGGAGTATTGTTGGCGCCCCTTCAGGCCATCTTTGGGTAATAGTGGATATCTCACGGGCCAGCTCGGACGCTCTGAAGAGAGACGAAATTGTAAAAACACAAGGGGAACAATTATCCTCACCTCTCTGAGGCCTCTTGGCCTGACCTGGCCGTCTTGGAGGCGTATAGAGACGACGTGGACGCCACATTGAGCCGGCTAGTAAATGTCCTAGCCATATTGGCGGTCTCCTGGCGCCGTTTGGGCGTCGAAAGTGTGCCTCATCAGGTCCTCTGGGACGTCCCCATGGGGCTTTATTCTCTTGCACAGCTGTGCTCTAGAGCTCGGACATCTTTATTTTCGTCGTTCGTCGTGTCGTTCGTCCCCCTCGCCCCCCCCCCCACGCTTCCCACCACGCCCTTCCCAAGCCCCCCTCGGGCTTCCCAGGGTAGCCCCCCTGGAACCCTTTATTTTCGTCGTTTATTTTCGTCGTTCGTCGTGTCGTTCGTCCCCCTCGCCCCCCCCCCCCCTGTCCACGCTTCCCAGGGTAGCCCCCCTGGGCCACGGAACCCTTTATTTTCGTCGTTCGTCGTGTCGTTCGTCCCCCCACCCCCCCCTGTCCACGCTTCCCAGGGTAGCCCCCCTGGGCCACTTTTATTTTCGTGTCGTGTCGTGTCGTGTCGTTCGTCCCCCTGCCCCCCCCCCTCTGCCCCCCCCCGCCCAGGCTTCCCAGGGCAGCCCCCCTGAGCCTCGGACACCTTTGTGCAAGAGCCAGGGCACGCGTGCCACTTGTTTAGGTCGGGCATGTCCTCCTACAGGTTGATTTTGGAGGACAAACCAAAACTAGTCAAACAATAAAAGCAAATAGTAAAACTAACAAATAATCGAAAAATCGTCCCCATACGATTCTTTTTACTAGTTTCGAATACTCACCCTGTAGAGGGGAAGCCCGACTTAAGGCTTTACTGTGGTGTCTGTGGCGCCGGCCTGAAGCGGTCTGTGGACGTCTTCACCCATCTCGGGGCCGAACGAGCCCCCCGTCTCGAACTGAGCGAGCCCTATTGATGTCGTCTTGAGGCCGTCTTGGGCCCATCCTGGGCCGTCTTGTGTCTCTCCAGCGACCCTATTCGGGCATCTTGGGCCTTCTCTAAGGCCTGGTGGGAACCTTCGTGGGCCCCTTTCTGATATCTGAGGGCGACCCTGGGGGTCCTTTAGGCCGTCTCGGAGGACTCTAAAACCACAGGAAAGGAAGTACGCTAGAGCCTCACCCAAAACAACACGTAAAAAATAAATACTTGTCATCTCTCTGGGGCCTCTTGGGGTACTCCACTGGAGATTTCTGGGTCGTTTTGGAGGCGTCAGGAAACAAGTTTGAAACCAGATTGGGCACGTTGTGGATCTCTTGGCGGCCCCCTGGCGCCATTCTGCTGTCGAGATTGTGTCTCGGAGGCCTGCTGAGACCGAACCAGTCCCCCCCGCAAAAACTCCGAGAGGGGGCCCCGAACCCTGGGCGAACATGGATTGCAAGGGGGAGGGATGGAGAAGCGTGCTGCCCCTGCTGGGCTTGGGCCTCGACGCGCGGACCCAATTCTTGACGCCTCGCGTGTGTCCCCACCACCAGGTGCTGCTAGAAGTGCCCCTGGCCCAACGCGCCCCCAGGACTTCCGAGAGGCCCCCGCGGCCTCAAAGGGCACCCCTCACGAGGCCCAGCGGGCCCCCGGGGGCTCCAAAACCAGGCGAAAAGCTGGGGGGGGGGCTGGGGGGGGACCCTTTCGGGCCAGGGGCACCCGCAGCAGCCCCCGAGTCCAGCCCTCTCCTTTCAACCGCGCCTCCCGAGCGAGCCGCCGTGACCTCGGGAGCGCAGCAGCCTGCCGTGGCGCAGAGAGGGTGGGCGGCCGCCCCTTCCGCTCGCGCGAACTCCCCGTCTCGGGCGCCCCCGGGGCCCGCCCCTCGGGCGGCCCTGGAGCCGTCTCGGGAGGCCTCCGGGCCCGGCTCTGGCCCGTCCTGGACCGCAGGAGCGCAGAGGGCCGGGGCCGCGAAGCGAACAGGACACGAGGGGTAACCCCAATTCGGCAGGGGCGACCTGCTGGTCAGCCTCGCCCGTGGCGACCCCTGGCGGGCTTCGCCCGGATCTGGAGAAGTGTCTGCGACTGCCGAGCTGCTCAAGAAAGCCAGCGATCGATCGACGGGCCGACCGCGGCGGCGGGCGGCGGCGATCGACCAAAGACCGAGCGATCGCGACGATCGACGGAGTATCGATCGATCGCGACGACGAGTCGATATCCTCGCTCGGTCGATCGACCCTCGATCGATCAATCCTCGGGAATCCTCGACCCTCAAACCTGTCCACGATCGATCGAGGCCGATCGATCGTCGATCGACGGATCCGTCGCTCTGCCGCGGCGGCTGGCGGCGAGGCTAACAGGGGATATATCGACCCCTATCCCTGGCTTTGGGAGGTTGTCGATTGGACCCAAAATGTGGGGCCCAACCCTGGGATATGCGATAGTGGGGGGCGTCCATCCTCGATAGGGGCTCGTCCGAGCAGCCCACTTGGGGTGTATCCCAGAGTTTCCCCCTGGCTCCTCCTCTCTCTCGCTCCTCCTGCTCCTGCTCCTCCTCCTCCTCCTCCTGCTCCTCCTCCTCCTCCTCCTCCTCCTCCTCCTCCTGCTCCTCCTCCTCCTCCTCCTCCTCCTCCTCCTCCTCCTCCTCCTCCTCCTCCTCCCTCCATTTTCCGTCGAAGAACCCTTCTTTTCCCGTCGAAGCCTCGGGGGGCGGGGCGGCGGCGGCCCGCCGGCCGCTCGCCCCCGGCGGAAGGGCCTCGCTGGAGGGGAGCCTCGCGGGGGCGTCGGAGGCCGCGGCCGCGCTGTCGCCGGCGCCGGCCTGCCGCCGCCCCGGGGCGTGGGTGCGTGGGGGGGGGGGGCGCCAGGCGGCGACGGATCGATCGAGGCGACGACGGGGGGGCGACGATGGATCGATCGATGCATCGATCGGGGCGACGACGGGGGGGGCGCCAGGCGACGATGGACCGATCGAGAGTCCTGGATCGCCCCTCCACCGATCGGTCGAGGAGCCGCTGATCGAGGATCAGGGAGGGAGACTAGGGAGAGAGAGAGAGAGAGGGGGGGGTGAGCGAGATTGCGATTTCCAGAGCGCGCTGGAACCATCGCGCGCGCGCTTCGCGCACGCGTGCAGGTTCTGCCTATCCTAGGGCCTCTCGTGGAGCGTGGAAGTCCGTGCCCGAAGCAAAGGAAAACGGAGGTTTCGAAGCCAACGCGTTCATTGCTCAAGGTGCGAATGGAGGCTCAAGTGAGGTCGATGGGTGTACAGCTCACAACAAAAATACATGCGCGTGCCTTTTGAAGGCCTCTTGTGGGGACTTCGTGGGGCCAATTGGAAGCCTCTCGGAGGCCAGGTCTCCTAGGGGCCTCTTGGAAGCGCCTTGGAGCCTTCAGAGGGCCCCGTGAAGCTATCTTGGGAGAGAGGCTCCAAAGTTCAGTTCGATTTCGCGTTCCTGGACCCCTCTTTGGTTTCTCGTGGGGGCCTCAGGGTGCCTCTTGAGGGCCTCTTGGAGGCCAGGTCGGGGTCCTGGGGATTCTCTCAGGGCAGCTTGGCAGTGTTGGGGAGCCTCTTGGCTCGGGTAGGGGCCCTCCAGGGGCGTTTTGGGTCCCTCTTGGTGCCTCCTTTGGGCATTCGTGGGTTGTTTGGGGCGCATATTGGGCCGTCTTGCGGCTTGTTGAGCATTGGGCCGTCTGGGGGAAGTCTTGGGGGCCTCCCAGGCCGTCTCGGACGTTGTTACGACCAAGTGCTAATAATCCACGTTCCCCAAACAATGATTTGGACGAGTGCTGCGCCTCTTGTTGGGGCCCTGTTGGAGGTCCTCTTGGAGCCGTCTTGGGGCGACTTGGGGGTCTCCATCATCGGCCGTCCTGCGGCTAGCTGGAAGCCATCTGGGGCCGCCCCGAAACCTCCTTCGCCCATCCTGAACCCCCTCGGAACTCATCTGGAAGTTCCTGGGGGGCCATTCGGCGGTGGACAAACCTCCCTTTAGTAAATCTCCCCTTAGTGAAAACGGCCTGGGACCGAAACCGACGGACCTGGACCCGCAAAAATGACGGCCGCGACGCCCTCTCGCGAACCGAAAACGGCCAATCCGCTAATCGACGTGTCAGGGTAGCCGACATCTGGGGCCGTCCCGAAGTCTGCTTCGCCAATCCTGAACCCCCTCGGAACTCATCTGGAAGTTCCTGGGGGGCCGTAGGGGGCCGCGAAGAGGCTCCGGGGGTGCCCGGGGGAGGCTCCGGGAGGGGAGGGGAGGGGTCCCTGAGGGCCCGTGGTGTTCTGCGGCCCCGGGGTGCCCGAGGCCAGGTCT